AATATTCGTCTCAATAATATTCTAAAGTAATAATCTAAAGTAATAATCTAAAGTAATAAATATTCTTATTAATTAAATTAATGAATTATTCAATATGAAATATATTCATTAGCAATCTCAGGTCATTCCGGCAAGTCCCTTTTCCATCTCTAGGTCCCTCTCCTGTACGTTTGCCTTTCTTCTCCCTGTCAATCTCGATCCCATCAGACGCCTTTTATAAAAGATCAGGAAAACCTTCCCCAAATATAACTTCTACGCCACGTCATTTAATTGTCCCACCAATCTCGTGACATGACATCTTTTAAGAATTAGAATGACGTAATGCGCAGGCAACCCACTTGTGAACTATATTATTGCGATCTACTGTGCATTTCATTTGCATTGTTTTAAAACAGTCTTAATGTCAGGAATCAAACGTTTGTTTTCGGTCTGAATTTAACTTCTCCGTGATAAACGAATGGTAAACGCACAGTAAATAAATACGGTATTTACTTAAACTCGAACGATGACATCAAACTTCGAAGAAGAACGCCATCCGGATATTGCTTTGAAGAAAAACAAAAGGACAACAGAACTTCATATGGAAAACAAGGTTGATACGCTTGAAAACAAGCCTTCTAAAACGGAGGAACAACAAATCTCCGAGAACTGCTGCCCAACCATTGCAAACAAATCGTTCGAACTAGACGATGATATGATAATAATCCGAAGACGGGACATCGAGAAACTCACACGTTCGCTTCCTCAACTAGAAAGTTTGGATTGCAAACTTGGTCTGGCGAGTGATAAGAAATACGAAGAATGGGTTTATGTTGAGACTGACCGATCGACGTTCAAAATACAGGAGGATTTGCTTCTGTTGAGTTCTGTCTACAATGACGAAAGATCCTGTTGTGTTTTACAATAATTATAAGCCCAAGCACGCATTTTGGAACTAAACGTCGACATAAGACAAAAAAAATTGCTTACAAATCTTGTTTACATTGGAGCAAAACATCTGTGGAATCCCAGTTCGCTTCAAGAGATCTAGGAGAAATATTATGATTCCTAGCTATTGACTGGTGTCTACATGCGAACATGATCTGGATGTATCAAATGAATTTTGGTCACAAATTGACAAGAATTTCTTCTGTGTCCTACGCATGACCTGGCATATAAATTATCGGCATGGTATATTGTGGAAAAATATAAATCTAATATAAATCTTTAGCATTCTTAAAGCAAGCGATCGCTGGAAATTACAGTTCATTGTTATAGATTATTTTCTCACAGTAGTGCATAAGTTAATTGACACAGGGTGTGGAAATTTATATAGCGTTAAATTTAGCATTTCCCCCAGTCCCTGAAGAAAGACTTGCTGTTAAAATTGTTTTTTTTGTTAGAATAGTTAGAATAGTCCCCTTCACAGTTCCCTTTGCCATCTTGAAAAGAAGTTGTGCCTTTCAAGATGGTGCAGGGAACTGTGAAGGGAGCTATTCTAGTTAAAACTGTTGGAGAATGTGTTAAATTCCCTGTGCATTCATGCTGTTAAATGTGCATCAAATCCCTGGTCACGGCACAATTCCCCTCCCTTTCCAGTAAGTCAGGGAATGGGAGTTTCAATTGACTATTGCATGATTTATTATACAACACTGATAGCTCCAAACATCACACTTCCAGACTATTTTCAGTGTTTTTTAAAGTCTCTCTAGAGTTTGGCATTCAATGATGCATGCAGAATTGCAATGATAAAAAAATTTGGAGGTCCATGTGGATGCCCTTGCTGTTAACCTTGTGATTAAGTAAATATTTCATGTTATTCATTCTTGGCTTCATCGCTTCTCCTGTGCTTTTGTCACCAGATATATCAACTAGGCTTTAAATTTGGACTTGGCAACCTTTGATTTGTTTGCCAAGACAATTGCAACCTTGTCAGGAATTTTGGCCTTCCATGGACCAGAGATGTTGACTGGAGATCTGGTCAGAGGAAAACCTGACTGTTCTAAAATAGCACAATATTTGAGATTCAGAACTTTGAATGGGTATAATAGCCTTGCAAATTATATCAGAGGTAATTGGGTTTTATGAAAATTTAAAGATACATATATTTTCAACATACATTTCTATAATAAATAAAGGAGTTATAATAAAATATATTTTCAAACCTGAAAATTGTATTGGTGTCTTCAAATGAAGAGTATGATTAAACATAGCCATATTCCGTAAGCAACAACAATAACAGGAAACACAACATCAATAGCAGCAAAAATAACAACAATTGCTGGTTTTCAATCATTCCCAAGAGAATGAAATAACGAAAGTCACGGCGGCCATGTTGGATGACATAACACAGACTAATGACGAATCTTTTGTTACATTCATCCAACATGGCAGCTGTGAAAACCATCAATAGTAGCAGCAACTACTGCTAGACAACAGCAGCCACAACAACAGCAATAACAAAAGCAGTAGCAACAGGAAGCAACGACAACAAAAAAGCAACGACAACAACAAAAAAGCAGCAACAACAACAACGCCCTACAGCATCAAAAATAAACACATTTTGGATGAGGGAGACTGGTACGAGGCCCAAGTACAACCGCTGATTATATCCTGAGCCAGCGCACATGTAATCAAGATGGCGGACGCACATGAGTTATTCAAAAGACTAAGTACAGGAGCGAAATTCGACAAGAAGACGTTAAAGATAAGCTTTCAGAAATTACAGGTTAGTTAAGCTAAATTCTTTTTATTGTAAGCCTTTTTAATTTCTTAATTAGCTAAAACAGCATTCAATTTAAGGCCCGTTTGTCGTTAGGCGTCCTCTAAAAATACACAAGTCACACTAGTAACGAGAGAAGAAAATTTAAATCTTTTTCAGCCCAGACAGAATACAGGCGAATTACAAGGATCAAAGGGTATATCCGAGGCATTGGATTTCTTTGGGAATAATACAGAGACGCATGAATTAGATTTAAAAGCAGATCAAGACACTCTAAAAGAGACTGGAAATATAGAAGCTGAAGGAAAGAAGAAAGCCAAGAAGAGGAAACATACACTAGAAGGTTTATAATTTTTTGAAATGGTTTTTAAGGATAATTTCAATTAGAATATCTCAGTACAATTCTATTTTATTCGAATTTTATTTATTTATTTTTTTTAGAAAATCATCAGCCATCATTAGATGGTGAAGGAAAGGACAGAAAACGGCTGAAAGGAAAACTGACAAATGAACAGCTAGCTCAGTTACACCTTGAACAAGTAAGTTTATTTTCTAAGTTCGCGCAAAAAACTTCAAGTTTCATCAATATAATACCCTGAATCAACCTCTGTGTCAGTCAAAGCCAGGGCAAATGTGAGGTAATAATAAGATTGAATTCGAATTTAAATTGTTAGGTTTTGTGGAGGAGAAAGACCAAAGGACCTGGGAAAAACCCTAGAATAAATGAAGGGGAGGACCTAATAAATGCGACATTACATATGATACCAAGTCCAGAAATGAAATCTTAGACCCCAGGCAGGGGTGAGATTAAAGATGAATGCACTATTGCTATATATGCTACCCAAGTCATTCTAACACTGACAAAACCCAGAATCCCAGAGTCTCGATCTAACAATGAAATATCTAGCTTTCAATGAATATATTTACATCAGTCAATCAGTCTCGGTCCAATGTCAAATTTTAACCATTTCATCTTCTTAAATGCTATTATAGGTACAAACTTCTAGACATGCACATAGAATATTTGTCAAAGGATCAGATATTCCAGATCCTACAGAAACGTTTTCAGTACTCAAGGAAAGGTTTGTCAAATATCTAAAGTAAAATACATGTAGCTAGTTCTTGTCACTATTTAAACTTCGGTATTGTTTGGTCAGGTGACTGAGCATTTGTGTTTTGTGATATTTCTTCTTAATTCTTAAAATTTTTCAGCAGGTCCACATCTGCCGATATATACATGTAGTTATAGTTTATTTATTCTTTATATTTAATCATAGCTGTATGTAAGCTTAACCTGCTTTAACAAATACAGTATTGATTGATTGATATTGATTGATTGATTGTTGGTAATTGGTTGTGGATGTTTCCATTCCTGACATATTGATTTATCTTTTCAAGGTATAATTTAGCAGACTATATCATAAGAAATGTAAAGGAAAGAGGATACGCAGAGCCAACACCTATACAGATGCAAGCTATGCCTCTTATGCTTCATGTTAGTATATAAAATATGCATCTTTATATACAGCTAGTTACTTGGTTCCAAAATTCTGTATAATAGTATTGAGCTTTGGTATCACAGTGTTAGACAATCACAACAGAGCCACTATAGGCTTCAAACTAGAAGTTGATCTTTTGAGAAGGGAAGAAAATCGGAGAGCCCAGAGAAAACCCTAGAAGGGCAGGAGAGAACCTACAAACAACTCTGCCCACATACATGTACTGGGCCAATAAGCCTTGTAATCCTGTAATCAAACCCAAGTCACATTAGTGAAAAGTGATGCATTAGCAGTGCACGCCACCAATGCTTCTAATATTTTTCTTCCAATTATTGTAAGATAAATCTTAAGTTTTTGATTTAATAGAGTTTTATGATTTCGGTTTTTATGTTTTATGGCTGTGTTTATGATACAACATTTTATTCATCAGGGAAGAGAAGTTCTATGCTGTGCTCCTACAGGTTCTGGAAAAACTGTTGCTTTTATTGTTCCATTGCTTCATGAACTGAAGGTTTGTCATACATCCTACTGTAGTTCTCCCAGGACTTCTTTTAATTTATCAGTACTTTAAAAAAAATTTCTGCTGATATTTCCTCCACTTGTGAGAAGTAGTATGGTATAAAAATATTATTTTGTAGCACTTACTATTATTACTTATTATTTGTGGCTATCATTAGTATCAATGGCAAATTCTCTTTACACAAACAGCTGCTACAACGAAAACTAGCTACTACAGCTCTCTTGAACCAAAATTTATTTTCCGTTAGAAGGCCTGAAAGGATCTGGTACTGACGCTAATGACAGCTGTGAAGAAGACTACATTATTACTATATTAATAGATGTATGTTTTTCATCAGCGACCCAAAAAGTCTGGATTTAGAGCACTGGTGATTTCTCCGACAAGAGAGCTTGCACAACAGGTATGCCAGAAAACAAAAATATAATCTACACATTGTAAACTCCTTATGTATTTCTAGCTTGAAAGTGAAATTTTCATTTCTTTTCCAAAACAGATTTACAGGGAGTTTTGTCACCTGTCTAAGGGCTGTGCCTTCAAAATACACATCCTAACCAAAGCCAAAGCTTCGTCAAACAATTTTGGATCAAAAGCATTAAAACGCTTTGGTGAGCATACTTTGAATAATCAAACTATGCCTTAATACATGGCTTAAAGTAACGGGTAGTAAGATGCTGGCCATTATGATCAGCCAAATAAGTTTTAGCTCAGATATACCTCATTTCTGGCTTAAACATTACTCTGGTCAAAATGACTGGCAAGGCAAAGATTTGACCAGACAAGTTCCAGTTCTGGACGGACATTGTCTGATGTCCAGCTGTTATTCTAAGCCCTGTAATACAGTATTTTTATGTAGCTATTTCAATATTCACAGAATATTCAGAGACTTTTGCAGTGCAATATCATATATCTGATCTTCTATATCTTTAGTTATTACATTAGGTGACCATATTCAGTAATTGCACTGTAAAAACACAACTTTTTTTCCTTCAAGATATTTTGGTCACAACACCAAACAGGCTTGTCCATTTACTAGCTCAAGACCCTCCAGGCATAAGCCTGCATAGGTAAGTATCATTTCTTACTTTAATTACTAGCCATATGTTGAACGCCAATGACAGATCCAGGATTTTTAAAAGGGGATTCCAAAATGGCTACCATGCAGAAGAAGCTGGCACAAAGGCTTCACAAATGGGCGTTGCAAGTGTAAAGAGCATGTATTGGCTTCATATGAACTCACAAACAGGGATTTCATGTATCCCGAAGAACTACCCCTGGATCTGCTACTGGCTGCATGAGACAGTTCTGGTCAACTAATAGTCCCCTTCACAGTTCCAGGCGCCATCTTGAAAGTCAGCCATGCCTTGGCATCAAAGCAAGACGAACAGTGAGCTTACAATGATAGAGACTTGTGGATAATTGTCCAAGGTGTTAAAAAAAGGTCTCTATCATTGCAAGCTCACTGTTTGTCTCGTTTTGATGCAAAGACAGGGCTACCTTTCAAGATGGTGCAGGGAACTGTGAAGGGGACTATTGGAATCAAAGTCCATGAATATATATATTTCAATTGAAAATTGCTTATGAATATATTATAGTTATCCCCACAAGGGTTGTCTTTGTAATCTCCTTCAATCTCATTCATTTGACATCTGCCATGCTTCTTTTCTTTGTTAGTGTCAAGTGGCTGGTTCTGGATGAAGCTGATAAACTCTTTGAGCAAGGCAAAGATGGCTTCAGAGACCAGGTAAAAATTCATTCCATTTTGAAAGAGCATTGAATGCACAATTATACCATAGTTACATTAACTGAGTGCTACTTAAGTTCTCCCATCCTCTCCATTTCATTCCATCCACTCATTTCCATTCCCATTCTATGTTGTTTAGAGAACTGCATTCTCGTGCTGTAAGGCATCATTTAAATATTGCCTATAGATATTGTTTATCACCTTTATTATTTCATTTCAGATTGCTACTATTTATCAAGAATGTGATAACAAAAATATAAAACATGCATTATTTAGTGCGACATTGTCTAATGGAATAGAGGAATGGGCGCAGTTGCATCTTGATAACCATGTGAAAGTAACTGTTGGAGTAAGGTGAGCATTACATTTTATTGTGTAATTCCAGAAAATAACCAAAATACTTCTTTTTGGCCTCTGGCATGCAGTGTAGGTCTCTCTCTTTGCTTTGGGGTTTCTCAATTGTTTCTTTGGTGGGTTACCTGTTGTGCATGAAATAATGTTGTGGACAGAGGCACAGGACAAAGGCAACAGAATGGACGTTTTTGATTTTCTTAAGTAGAACCATGTAGGCTTTAGACTAACTGGTTTGGTATCCACAACAGAAATTCAGCCACCAAGACTGTGGAGCAAGAGTTGTTGTTTGTTGGACAGGAGTCTGGAAAACTGCTGGCTGTACATGATATTATAAGAAAGGTATTTTTTTTAAATACAAATATTTTTTTACTTGGTGTACTAGATTCTTTACTGTAGTCTGATTACTTGTGTTTACTTGTTCTACCATTATTGTCATAATCTTCATCATCTTCACAGCTATCATCATCATAGTCATCAACATCATAATCAGTCATCATTATCACAATCATCATCATAATCGTAAACTTCATTAACGTCAGCTATGGACATCATTATCAGAGTCATTATCATCATCAGAGTCATTATCAGTCATCAACATCAATATCACAGCCATCATCATCAGTCATCGACATCATTATCAGTCATTATCATCATAATCATCATCATTACAGTCATTACATCCCTACCACCACCACTTTCATCATTCTTGAGTCACAACCGTTTCTCATAATCAGTGTCTGACTGCATAATGTCCATAGCCAGCTAAAGGCATATATCTAACTTACTATAGAACAACAATACATCTATCAATCTCAATTTGTTTTCCTATAACTCATTTTTTTTGTTTCACCAGGGGTTTAACCCTCCAGTACTTATCTTTGTCCAGTCAAAGGACAGAGCTAAAGAATTGTTCCATGAGCTCATCTATGATGGAATAAATGTAGATGTTATACACTCTGACAGAACACAAGCACAGGTAACCAGAAAAACTGAATTCATTTCTTTTTGTTTTGCGTTTTTGACTAATGAATGGTTTTTTTCTTACATCAGAGAGATAACATCGTTAAGAGTTTCAGATCGGGAAAAGTAAGTAAAAGTTATAACTAAACCGAGAATTTATTCAATGTTTCATCTAATTTCATGCTGTTGTCTCTGTTCTTGTGTGTTGCTGTTATTGTTTCTTTTCTTGTTGCTGCTGTTGCTGGTGTTGTTGCTGTTGTTAACTATCGTTGCTTCTGTCGTTATTGTTTGCGGTGGTTGTTGCTGTTTGCCGTGGTAGATGGTGTTGTTTCTGTTTCTGTTGTTGTTGTTGCTGCTGTTGTTGTTGTGAACTGTTGTTTGCTGTCGTTTGCTGTGGTTGATGGTGTTGCTGATGGCTCTGATGTTATTGCTGTTTTTATTGTCCCTTTACAAGACGTTAGTTGTCAAAATTCATTTGTCATCAATGAGTTAATTTTAACTAATAAATATTAGTTTGCATTAGCCCTATCCCGAATTCGCTTGACTGACCACGAAACAATGGTTTGCAGTCGAGACTGCATGGACTTGATTCTTTTATTCATCAAGTTCAACCTCGACTTAAAACCATTGTTTCGTGACTAGACAAGCGAATTCGGGATAGACCTATTGAGTTGAGGGTGCTCATTAGATTGATGGGACGTATTATGGCGTCGAAGGATTATTCGTAGCTGACTTGTTTGTCTTGTGTCCATAGATTTGGGTGCTCATTTTATTGATGGGACGTGGTTATGACGTCGAAGGATTATTCGTAGTTGACTTATTTCTCTTGTGTCCATAGATTTGGGTGCTCATTGCTACAGAATTGATGGGACGTGGTATTGATTTCAAAGGAGTCAACTTGGTTATTAACTATGATTTCCCGACATCAGCGGTTTCGTACATCCATAGAATAGGCAAGAAATTTTATTTTACGAGGTTAACACATGACAGTAAATACACGTACAATTGATCCAGTGGCCAGAACGATACTTATAACACAATTTGATAAATGTCACATTTTCAATCTTGCATGGGGTCGTATGGGATGGAATAAATAGACATTTTCACATGTTAAGAACTTGATATCGTTTTTATGCACGAGATTTTCGTRTCATATCGCGAACGAGCGAGTCTATAATATATGAACAATTGAGCGATATGATACGGAAAACGAGTGAATAAAAACGATATCAGGCTCTTAACATGTGATTGTTTATTATTTATTTATTTATTTATTTTTGGGAAGCACGGGTGGCGTAGCGGTGAGAGCGCTCGCCTCTCCAATGTGACCCGGATTCGAGTCCCGCTGAGCTCGGTGTCTTATGTGAGTAGAGTTGTCTGTTGGTTCTCTCCTGTGCTTTGAGGGTTTTCCGGGTTCTCCGGCTTTCCTCCCTCCGCAAAAATCAACTCCTAAATTCCAATTGGAATTACAGTGAATGAATAGCTACTCTGTAGAAATGCCACTGTTAAATCCCATTTATTTAGTTATTTTATTTATTCATAATTTATTAGGGTCGATTCTGATTGGTCAAAACTAAAATATGTCGCGAGATCTTATTGGACAGTTTTACCGTAAACTGATATCGTATCACTTCACTGATATGGTTTTTAATCACGGCTTCGTTTCACGGATATCGACCCTGAATGTGTAATAAATAGAGATAGGCTCGTTTTGTATTGCTCAGCTTGGATGGAATGGTATATGACTACATGTAGGTAAATGCTACGGTATTTTTTCATTGTAATTCTATTTGCTAACATGAGAGTATGTGGACCGCGTGGCACTAATGAAATAGTAGAAGATAATATAGGTAAGTTGTAGTGCTTGGGAACGAGGTTATTCCGGGCGAAAGCCCTTGGAATTAAATTCGGAAAAATTAATTTCCGACCTCGCTGGGATTCGAACCCACGACCTTCGGAA